GAACCTAGATGAACACATTACCTACCTACAGTCTCTGGGAATAGCTGGAATCTCAGACCATGACTTGATATACACACGATCAGCCTGTTAAAGAAGAGCTTGATGTGATAGAAGAGTCTCAGTGAATTCAACAGAGAATTCAGAAATGTCGATTCCTTGTTGAATTAGAGTCTCAAAATATAATGGGAAAACAAAGAACTGGAAATGAGGGGGCCTGCCCAATAGCACCTCTGTTTCCTTCTCAAAGAAAGAAGAAATGCCCTGAATTGAAGAAACCACAGCTTGGGCCTTCACTTCTTATAACTATTCATCCTACCCAGGTAGGAGATATCAGTTTTCAAATGGCAAATGTAAGCATTGATGATCAAGACCTCTCCAATGTAAACATGAATATGACCATGTTACAGGATGGTAAGCACCCGTGTGAAAATACATTCAATACTGACTTTGTAGCCACTTTACCCAAGGAGTTTGGAAGTGTAGAAGAAATTTGGACTGCCTCACTACTGGGAACCTCAAAAAGCTTTGTAGTTGAAAATGAATCTCTGCAAAAAAAAAGGCATTACAAGAAGAGCCTGAGCAAGAGGCACTGCAAGAGAATACCCTGGGAGGTTTTAATTATTTAGCTCTCCAAGCAATCAAAGCTGATACTGCACCAACTCTGGATCTACAGGATGATGAGATTTTACATCATTGCAATCCCTGGCCCAGAAATCCTATTACAAATGAAAATCAAAACACAAAGTGGAGTGTGTCTATTATTGAAATATCTGATGAATCATCAGCATCCCATGATGCACTGCAGGATGTCCAAGCAAGTGAGGCCAAGTCAGAAGGGGAACCTTTAGCATCTTCACCACAGTATGCGTATGATTTCAATCTTTTCCTGGAAGACTCTGCAGACAATATTCAAAATCTTTCCACTCAGTCTTTCGAGCATGTTGAGAAAAAAAACAGCCTGTGTGTCTCTGCTGCTAATTCTAGTGCAGAGTCTGTGCACAGCAATCTATGTCTCCATTCGGATTTTCCCAAGAAAGACAGTGAACCAGAAGAAGTGGTAGTTAATGTTAAAACCAGAAGCAAAGCTAGAAGGATCATTTCAGATGATGAAGATGAGGATGATTCTTTAAAGGGTACTTCAAACCCAAGTCCATTCAGCACATCTCTCTTTCATTTCTCATCTGTGAAACAATTTGTTGCTTCTACTCCCAAAGATAACAGTGTACCTGGACGATTCTCTTCACCTACAATGCCTAGTAGTGTAAATAAATCTATGAACTCTAGGAGATCTCTGGCTTCTAGAAGTTCTCTGATTGATGTGGCTTTAGACTGTGTGGAGGATATGGAGGAAAGGGTTGACAACAGCAGTAAAGCAGAGCCCACTGAGGATGATATGGAGGAAGGAGCCAAAGAAGAGAGTGACAAAGCCTCCGAGGGTGCAGAAGGTCCTTCTGGAGAAAGGCTGTCTGCAGGAAATAAGTCTGGCAGGCTAACCATGGCTAAGCCACTAGGCTGTAATCTACAGACCCCACTTGGAGCCCCTGAGCCTCTGTCTGCTGAGCCCTTGGTTGAGTCTCCCCAGAGTGAGGCAGAGGAGGCTGCAAATGACTATGAAATTCTTATAACTCATGGAAAAGAACTGAAAGAGTGTGGAAAAATACAGGAGGCCTTAAACTGCTTAGTTAAAGCCCTTGACATAAAAAGTTCTGATCCTGAAGTCATGCTCATGACTTTGAGTTTGTATAAGCAATTTAGGAACACTTGAAAATGTTATAACTTATGTATTATGGGTTTTTTTTGGAGGGGGGTAATATTTTTTGTTTTTAGAGATAAGTCCCGCTGTGTAACCCAGACTGGCCACAAATTCACAAACCAGATTTAGTCTCCTGAGTGCCGGGATTACAAGTGTGCACCACCGTGCCCATCTGTTTATTGCATTTTTAAAATGCAGCTGATTATAAGGTGATTTTTGTTTCCATAATTGTGGTCTTTGGCAGCATGGAGGGTTTGTGCTTAAGGTAAGAAAGATCTCATAAAGCAATTTCTGCCTCTACCTCCTAGCTCCTAGTCTTCCCTTCCCAACATATTGTTTTCTGAATGTTAGGTTAGTTTTTCTTCCCTTGAATGTTCTTAATTTTTTCATTTAGACATATTCTATAAATTTAAGAAACTGTGTGTGTGTGTGGGTGTTGTTTTTTTATGACAGTTTTGGGGGTTTTTGTGGTACTAGGGCTTGAACGTAGTTTTTATGTTGAAGTAGGGTCTCACTAAGTCCCTATGTTGTCCTGGTTGGGCTCAAACTTGCAATGTACCTGCCTTAACCTTCTCCCTCATCCTCCCTGAGTGCTAGGATTATGTGTCTACTACCCTACCATACCTCGCCTGAAGTTTGTTTTAAAATTATTCTGGGTATTTACAAAGGTATTTCCTTTGAATATCAATTCGGATAAGAAAATTGAAATTACTTTTCTCAAGTGTGAAAGAAAAAAAGATTTTAAGGACCACTTCTGAGTTATAGGCAGAAGAAAATAAAGGTGAGGAATTCTGTTAGGCACAATGAAAGAAAAGTACTTCTCACAGATTAGCTTACTGAGGCTGGGGACCATTTGCAGGGAACTGGTCCTGAGGACTCAATGGTTACTGCCTTGAATGTCCTCTCGATGATGATTATACCTTCTCATGACTTTTTGGATTTATAAGTCTAAGCAGTTGGATTTGTAGCCACAGCTGTTAGTGGTTTCCTTCTGTTCAGTGGACAGGATCTGATAGGTGCACATCTTCAGCAGTGTAGGAGTGGCCACGTCTAGATGGCTCATGGGACATGGTCTACGATAGGCTAAGAGAGGAATAGGCAATTGGTGGATCAGTTGAACATCATCCTTGCCATTTTCTGAAGCAGTCCTGGAAGCCCTCTTGTGTCTTTATAAAATGTGATAAAAACTAAGTGAATGCCACTTCTGAGTGCCACCCAGTGGAAAGGCCGGCTTATAAAACCATTACAGTATGTTCTGATCCACCCGATTCACCGGATATGGCTCCATGCAGCTTCTGGCTCTTCCCTAAAGTCCAAATGGTCATGATAGGCAGACATTTTGAAGGGATTCAGAACATCGAGGCAGCCAAGATAGCACAGCTAAAGACATGAAAAGTAGACCTCCACAACTACTTTAGAAAGTAGAAAGAATGATGGGATAAGTCTGTTCCAAGCCAGGGGACATATTTTAAGAAGGGTTAATGACAGTGTATCTTTCACTGTAATAGTTAAAAAATGTAAACATCCACTGTATTTTTCTATCAGATCTCATTTCTTGATTCATAAAATAGAGATACTTCTTGTGCACTGTATACGATAAGCAGTCTGGAGCGCTCTGCTTTCTCCTCAACTTCCTTCTTACACATCTACTTTCTTGCTTTTGTTATCTGCACTGTATTTGTATTTTTAAATTCACTTCCATTTGCTTATAAAGGAGTCGCTCATTTTCCCCCCTTTCCAGGTCCTGCCAACCACACATCTGTTCTCAGACTCTGAGGATTTTCTTATTGTGTTATTTCACATACAGGAAATCATATAATATGTAGCTTTGGGTTTGGCTTCTTTTACTGACTGTACTGCTTTTAAGGTTCATTCATGTTGTAGCATGCATCAGTCTTCATTCCTTTTGTTGGCTGAGTCATAAGTCATTGTATGACTGTCACATCTTGTCTGTCCATTCATATGTTGATGGACATTTGAATTGTTTCCACTTGGCTATGGTGAATTTTGGTGCAACAAACACACTTGTGTACAAGTTTTTGTTTGCACACACGTTTAAATTTTGGGGAGATGTATACCTCAGATCATTTGGTCATATGGTAACAGTCTTAAACTCGAGGAACCACCAAACTATTCTGTGCAATTATTTTTGCATTTTTTAGTTTACAGCATTTACATCATATTCAGTAACCATTTAAGAGTTTTTAGTGTTGGTTTATAGATTGATTTTAAAAGTTGAAAACCAGGGCCAGGGATTTAGCTCAGTGGTTCTGCTGCCTGCCTCGAAAATGCAAGGTCCCAAGTTCGATCCCTGCTACCAAAAAAAAAAAAAAAAGTTGAAAACCAATAAGGTGGGTCTCATTGCAACTAAGTTGAATTGTTCAATGCATGGACCATGCTCACTTTATTACTTTGCCTTCTCTACTCCTATTGAGAGAAATTCTCATCTCTATCTTGAATTATCTTTTTTGACAGTCATTTTTTTCCAGTATTTACTTTTGCCTCTTCTTTCTTTTTCTTTCTTTCTTTCTTTCTTTCTTTCTTTCTTTCTTTCTTTCTTTCTTTCTTTCTTTCTTTCTTTCTTTCTTTTGGCACTGGGGATCAACCTTGTGCTTGAGAGGCAGGCAGTGGAACCACTGAGCTAAATCCTGGCCCAAATTTTGCCTCTTTTCATTGGGGGGTTTCCTCAAATGTTTGGCAAGTCTGTGTTGTAAATTTGTATTTAAGAATGTGATACCCCTTGATGGGGTTCCCTACATAAGTAGGACTTGTTACCTGTTGTCCTGTGCTATAGTGTTTAGGAGGTTAGGAGGAAAAAACAGAAGGAAGTCTTCACACTTCATCTGCCAATGGCTCAGCTTGTGTCAATGGCCAGGCAACATGGAGTCTTCTGTGCATACTTTCAGTTAATCCTTTCAGTCAGTGCACACGGTTTCAGCCTTTCTTGGGCTCCCAGGCATCATCATCACGTGGGTTTTCAGAGCTGCAGTCTCCTCCATCTCCTTTTCACAGCTGTGCCCCATCCTAGGGGTCACGGGTCCTGCCATTCGGTTGCTCTGCCAGCCTTTATCAGTTACCTTCTTTCTTCTATTTTGTCTTCCCGAAGTTTTTCAGTATCTCTAAATCATTGAATCCCCTTCACTAGTTCTCTGTTCCTGTGTATTTATACCTTAAACTTTATTATTCTCATGTTGTGAGCCTCAGAGGGAGAAGTGATAAATACTTATGGATGATCTGTTTGCTTTAGCTTTAGCTTGAAATCCTCCATCCATCTTTAGATGTGGATGTGCCACAGGAACAAAGGTAAGAAAAAATTTCTCTTTTTATTAATGTTATAAAATGGCATGTTTAACTTACACTTCCTCACTTGTTGAAAATTAGATAGTGTAACTGAAGGAACAAATATTCTCTGCAGACCATTTCTCTACCCTAATAGACACATGGGTCACATGATGGGCATTCAAAAGTATTCCTGATACAATGTAAATGATAGGATTCTTCCATAGGACGACAGCCGCTGCGGCTCTGAAAGACCTAGGCTAGAATGATTTGTGAAGAAAACAGTCTTTCCCCAGTGTAGTGACAGAATGGGAGGGCAGACTAGGTAGTTACACTTCATTAGAGGAGGAACAAATACTCAAGGATTACCTCCTTCACATCCAATACACAAACTAGGCCCGTGAGAAGCTCAGCTTTCGGTTTATTAACAATTTTTGATTGTTTTATTTTATACTTACTCCCACTAATTTAACTTATTTAATCATTTTTGGAAGACATCATTAAAAAATAAGTTTAACCTAGTGAAACTTGTGCTTGTAGCTTTCGGTGTCAATGTTTTCAAAAATGCAGATGCACTGCCACCTGGGGGCACTTGGTGAACATTGCAGAACAGTCGTAGGTTCTCCCCTTGGTTTCTCCAACCTGTTAGGACAATGTACGGAGGCCCTTGGCCACCCTTACATTTACATATTTATTCTTTCACTCTTGAAGGGTGGGCCATGTGCGAATATATACACCATTGGGATCAAATAATTGCTGCGTACATAACATGTGTTAGAAACTCTACAGAAAACAGACTTCAGCGGTGAACAACGCTTAATTCCAAGCCTCACTTGGGAAGTTTTCTGGTGAACCTTCTAGATGTATATAGAATGTAAGACTCAGAAGGTTTAAACAAGCCACTCAGTCTCTCTTTTAGGTACTGAACTAGGGAATCAGCACCATCCGAAGAACATCATAAACTCTGTTCCCCTATGTTAGTAAGCTATGGTATGTTCCAACCTGATTTTAGATATGATAGTTAAAATTTAGATGGGGGTGAGGGGAGGACCAGGGATCAAACTCAGGACCTTGTGCTTGTCAGGCAGGCGCTGTGCCACTGAGCTACATCCCTGGTCCAAAATGTAAGTGTTTTAAAGGCTTATCTGGATTTTGTTTTTGCAGTGCTAGGAATTGAACTCAGGGCCTCACATGTGCTAGGTAAGTACACTCTTAGCCCTCTGATCTAGATTTATTTTTGGAGTCAAAATGTTTGGAATCTGTAGTAGTGGTGGTAAATGGATACATGAAGATAACATCAGAAATGCTTATTTCCAGTCTTCTTTGTCATTAACTACTTCTGAAGTGACTCAAGTAACCAGATAAGCAATTTCAATAGAGTATGTTTTAATATCACATGAAAGATGAGTTGGGAAATAGAGGCTAAATATTTAGTAATCATAAGAGAGAAATTCTCATTTTTTGAAGTTTCTGAGAAGGCAGGTGATAAGGTCATCAAAGTACAGAAGCCTTCAGTACACACCTGTTAGTTTTCCATATAAAAATCAACAATTTAAAATATAATATTCTAGTATTTGTGAAGCTGTGGGAAAATGGACACTCCGATAGTCACAAGAATACAAACTGGAGGACAACTAAATGTTTATGGCCCACATTTTATGACCATTTTGATCCCTGGCTTTTTGGTGATTATTTTTCTACGAATTTCCAAGAACATACTCACATGCTTGCATAAAGATGACCATTCTGTACTGTTTGAAGTAGAAAAAAATAAGGTATAACTCAATATTTATCACCTGAAAAGTACTTAAATAAATCATAATACATCAAAATTATGAGCTATATACTGTGTTTAAAAGACTGAAATAAAAAATATGTACATATGTTTTTGAAACTACCAGTAGACATATACTGTTCAGTGAAAAAAAGCAAGTTGCAGAACCATATGTAAATATGATACAATTTTAGTAAATAAACACAAAGTAACAAAGCTATGCATCTCAAAGTGCACATGTACATAGGGGTGTGTATATAGACGGTGGCTTGGCTGGACACACACCACACTGATGTAGCTAGGGATGGGTGGAGTAGAGAGGAAAGGAAAAGATTTATCCTCTGTCTGTAACATGTTTTACAAGGAAAGATCTTTTTTTTACTATTATTGTTTTTTATTATTTTTTAATCATTGTATCCTCAATGTTAGCAGAGTTTGTGACATTTAACAAACATCTGGACGGATCAAATAAGTGGAAAAAAAGTTGGCATTTGAATCACACTTTGCAGTGATGTCTGCTCCTGATTGAATAAGGCTCTAAATACAATATTGCCTGCCTGCAACGAGGCCAGGTAAAGCATGGGTTCAGAAAAGCTTAGCTGAAACAGGGCTCACAGGAAGTGAGTTCCACATCAGTCAGAAAGTAGCATCCTTCTGGTGATCTCATCATGTGATTCAGCTTCAATATTCAGTGTTGAAAGGATACTCCTCCAAATGAGACATGCCAGGTATGATGCAGGACCTCCAGTTTCTGTTGAAGCTGAGGATGGCCGCCATCTCCTCATCACTCAACTTGAAGTCAAAGACCTGAAAGCTCTCAATAATGTGCGTAGGGGTTGCAGACTTGGGAATCACTGCCACATTCCTGGGTATGGGACTGGATCAGAACCTGGGCTGTGGTTTTTTTGTGCTTCGCAGCAGTCTCCTGAATCTTAGGATCTTCCAGCAGTGAAAGGTTCTCTGGCTTGGGCCAAGGTCTATCTGGAGTGCCCAGAGGGCTGTAGGCAGTGACTGCCCTTGGAGTGGCAGTACTGGATCAGTTTGTCCTGGGTGAGGTATGGGTGACACTCCACCTGGTTAGTCACTGGTTTATATTTCAGTCCAGGCTTGTTCAAGAGCTTTTCATTCTGTAAGTGGTTGAAGTTGGAGACACCAAGGGCTTTCACCAACCCCTCGTCCACCAGCTTGCCCATGACCTCCCAGGCATCCAAGAATGTTGCTTTACTGGGGAGGATATTGCCTTTATCATATCTGGGGATGAGTTCCTTTCTATCCTGAAGCCCCTGTGGAAAGTGAATGAGGTAGATGTTCAGGTAGTCCAGTTTCAGGTCCTCCAGGGTCTTCCAGCAGACCTCCTTCACTAGGCTTCTCTCAAAGAATGTGCACCACAACTTGCTAACAATGGAGAAATCCTCCCCCCTCACAGTCTTCTCTCGGATCTTCTCATGGATGGTTCTCCCACCTCATTCTCATTCTGATAGGTGTAGGCACAGTCAATGTGGCAATATCCTGCATCGATGGCTGCCATCACAGCTTCTTTGACTTTACCTGGAGGAGTCTTCCAAGTGCTCAGGGCCACAATGGGCATCTGGGCTTTGGTGCTGAGCTCCACGAAGGTGGCCATAGTTGGTGCTGGAACGATTGTGAGGCAGCACAAGAGAGATGTCTTGTGTCCTAGTTGAGAGGCTGGCTGTGGCCAAGATCTTTAGAATTACTTGTATAAATGTAAATCAAGTTTAAAATATTTTGGGAAAAAGAAGGATGGAAAAATTTATAAGGTTACAAATAACATTGATTGGGGCCCATTGAGGAGGGTCCAGAAGAGTCAGCAAAAACCTAGCTTTGATGTATTCCTGCTGTTTCTATTAAGTACAAGGGATCTTAATCAGCTGTTTAAAAAGCTCTGCTGTTTGACTCAAAGTAGCGCAGGGCATTGACTCATTTCCAGATGTCCCAAACTACCAGGCCAATAAGAGCAGGCATCTAGCACTCTTAAGGTCTATGACATGGCAAGAGGGACTCTAGAATTGCAGTCTTCAAAATCAGGTGGCATCACTGAATTCTGTGACATGCACATTCCCTGAATGTCCTGGTTGCAGTACTTAACACCTGGCTGATGATCACCATTACTGTCTCTTGCAGGTACAAACTACCTTCACTCATCCATATACTCATTTCCTGTTGGAAACAGCAGAGTCCTGTTGGACCATGGTATTTTCATTTTCCAAGGTCCCCTCCTGGCCTCCCACTACACCAATTCAAGGGTCTCTATGATTTCTTGATTAATCCACACTTATCTAATTTTATCTCAAAAATACAGAGAAGAAGCAACTAGTATACTACTTATTATGATAGAAACTACATCTGCACTCACTATTTTATTCTATTCAACATCTTACTAATATGGTACTTTGTTGAGTATCAGAAAAAAATCTTAATGAGAATATGATGTGATAATCAGCTGCTTTATCTTCTCTTTTCCCAAGTATATATTCTCTTTTTAAAAAGATCATAGAATCTTCATTTTCACCTTTAAAAGAGTTGAAATCTTATGTGATTCTTAAATGTCATTCTATCCTAGAACTCTTCAAATTTACCACCAAGAAATGTTCTGATCCTTAGAGAAGAAATTTTGAAAATAGCATTAGGACTCAAAGTCAGTTCATAATTTATCTGTGCTGTAGGTGGTGGCCTACCATCTTACTGTTGAGGTTGTCTTTTAGAAGCCATATTCCAAAGTTGTAGTCCTGATGTCTAACCATGGGAAAAGCAATTCACGAGCATTTATTACAAAACCTGTTATATATGATAGGAATGGAGATGGCATTCACATTTTACAGTAGATACTAAGTGATTAGTGGATCAGTTGACCTCAAGCTAAACCTCAAGATTCAAATTTCAGCTCTCCTCTGCTTTTTCAATTTACTCTTCCCAAAGATATGTAGGACTCTAATTTCCAGTGTTTAAATGCCGTTATTTCTTTCAAATAAAACTGAAAAGGCAGATTAGTAATACGATATTTTGGTTTACTGGGACAATGTTTGATGACTCTCAAAAAGAAACACAAATCAGTATACAAAAAATTTCATTAGAAATAAAATAAATGCAAAAAAAGAGAAATAAAATAAATGCAAATAAAGACGAGATACTTTTTTTTCATTGAAGTAGCAAAATAGTTTTTCATGATTAAAAATAGTGTTAGTAAGGGTTCAGAGAAATGAGTGCTTTTTTACACCGCTGGAGGAAGATGCTCCCCTCATCCTGTGGCCCCGTCCTGGGTTCCCCAGTTCTCGGCCAGGACTGTGGTCTTTCCCACCGGGGCGCCTGCTCTGCGGGCGGGAGGATCTAGGGGCAGAGGGTGCAGATCTTTGGGCACAGGGTGGGATGGGAACTTGAGGTCTGAGAGGGCCCGATGAGGATGCTGAGCCCTAGAAATGTGTTCAAAGAGTCTGGAGCTGGAATGAGAGTTGCTTGTGTGACCAGGGCCCAGGTTGGGGGTGGGGGTGGGGAGTGTAGTTCAGGAAAAAGGAGGAATTCCTGGAGAGCCCTGGGGGGTTGAATTACCCCTGAATTTCCCTCAGAGCCCTGGGGGCTCCGCCCAGGCCTCGCCCCTTGCTCTCCGGGAGCCAATTAGGTACCACCAGGGCCCTCACAGCCAATGAGGCGTGGGTCTGGTCCGGGCCTTGGCCAATCACCGCCTGGGGCGTGGCTCTTTAAAAGAAAAAGGGCAGGCTGTGGCGAGTCTGTCAGGTGAAGAGAGCCATTCACCTATATAGATGCACTTCAAAAAGGGCAAGAGGAAGGAGCTGTCGCCTTCCCGGGGAGGCAGCTAGGTCCCTAGGTTCTCCTCACTGATCTGGCAACCACTCTCTAGACGGCACACCCATCTCTGTGGTGCCCAACAGCAGCTGCCTGATCTTGGAGCAATAGTAGCTCAACGGCTTGTAGTGATGGTGAACCTTTTAGAGACCGAGTGCCCAATCTGCAATCCCAAACCCACTTATTTATCCCAAAGTGCCAAATCTGCAATTCAACCCGAATACTGAGGTTTTGGTTTAGAAAAAACTCATACATTACTGTCTTTTATCTTAAAAAGAAAAACGCAGTAACAGCTTTCAATGATACAGCTTTTTACTTAGAGGTAAAAGTTTGCATTTGTCGTGCTTTTGCACAATTAATGTGATCTTTGCTGTTGTACTCAACAGCAAGTGATTTCATTGACTTAAAATTATTTGGCAGAGAATTCCACATTTTAAGGATTTCATTTTCAGAACTACCAACTGTATGGTCCTTTGTCATCCCTTCACTCTTTCTTCTCAAGTGTGACATGCAGGTAACAGAATTTTTCCAGATAGAGCTTTCTTGACATTTCGATAGCTCTATTTCCAGATTTCCAAAATCTAACCAGTGTAAGCAGGAAAGATCAAGTTCTTCAAAATTTGACTTTATCCGGAGAAGTAAGAGAAAACAAGTTTCTCCATCTTACAGAATTGTAAAAATCTGTTACTAAAATTCCTTTTGCAGCTGCTACAATGCTATAAAAGTCTTGGTACATTTCCTGATGGCTTGTCTGCAAATGTAGAATTATCTAAATGCAGTTTTAGATTTGGAAAATATTTCAGCTGCTCACTTTCAAGGTTTCTTTCAAACACCTGCAGTTTTCTCTCAAATTTTTTTATATCACAAAATATCCTTTCTGCTGTTTTCCCTACCTCTTGTACAGTAGTTTTTTGTTTTATTCAGTACATTGAAGTGTAGTGTAAAAATTTGTACAAAAAACCCCCAAACAACAACAACAACAACAACAAAACAGGGTTGTTAAGCCAGGCCAATCAGTGGGCTATGGATGTTCCTACCTTTTTTCATTCATAAAGAGTCCAGTTTCATCCAAGCAGGCTACAGATCTCTCCAGGACTTGTCCTTGGCTCAGGCACTGGACATCAGTGCCTGAACGTCAGTAAGAAGTGCTTGAAACTGTCAAAAATTAAGAGCATGAGCCATGATGTAATTCACCATTTCTGTTGTGTAATTTTTTGCTGCTTTTCCTGGCACAAAGAGCTTCTAATAATACAATGAAACTGAATGGTGGTATGTTTTGCTTCTTTAACAAAGAACAGTATGAAACCAGATGTTGCCACTACCTTGCAAGGTGCCCTGTCACAAGTAATTGAAACCACTTTTTCTGGTCTTATGTCTTGTGACAAAAAAAGCCTCCATCACAGCACTGCAGATAATCTATCCCTGGTGCTCTTCTAGGCAAAACACCAGTTTCACCAGCAATTCTCTCATGATGTCGCTGAGAGCATAACACAATTCCTACTAGCCTTGCAGGATTATATCTGTGCTTTCATCCAAGCACTTGAGCAACAGGCTGCCTTTTGTAGATCAGTGGTTAGCTGCTGACTAACATCACTTGCCATGCACAGGACTCAATCTTTAAGTGTTTCTGCTAAGTGGCATCTCAGAGATGCATTGGGTTAATCTTACCCTTGTTTGGGAAATCATGAAAAAGGGAATTACTTTCAGACAACATTAACATTTTGATAAAATCCCCATCAGAGAGGAGCTTACCATGTTTTGTTATGCACAATGAAATTTGAAAGCTGTCAGCTGTCAGATGATTTGTTTTAGAAAGAGAGTTGCAAAAACTAAGATACTGGGAATGATATTTCCTCAATTTCCCTTCAAGAAACTCAGTTTCATGAAGTTCAACAACACTCTTGTGGTTTGTGTCAAAGTGTCATCTGATCCTTGAATGGCCAGGGATTTAGCTCAGTGGTTCCAGCACCTGTCTCCCAAGTGCAAGGTCCCAAGTTCGATCCCTGGTACCAAAAAACCCCAAACAAAATAAAACAAAAAAACCCAAAAACGTGTCATCTGATCCTTGAAGTGGGACATACAACACTTTTACTACATAGAATACATAATCCTTTCCCACTGCATTCAGTCACTCCAAATGACTCTGTCCAGGCCTCTTGAAATGATCTTCCATTATCTGTTTGTTTTGCTTCTTTTCCTGTAGTCACTTCTTGGTGTTTAAGACTCGGGGTCTACAAAAACAAAATTTTAAAAAAATGAAGCACCCAATACAAATCTATCCCTGTACCAAAAATAGCTAATATTGTTAGTTAACATTAATGATTGGATATTCCCTTAATCAACAATCTATGGCCATGATTCTCAGCTAGGGATCCTATTCAATTTGCTGATCACCAGTCCAAGGGGGCAATGTTCCACTGATCAGCTTTTGGCCTGCTCTGAAAAAGGCATTGGCGTGCATTTCCTAATTTGTGGGGACTTCTGCTAAAATCACAGCCAGTCTAAGCAGGTATATATCTTTCCTCTTGTTTTCATAAATTCTTCACTAACAACTAAATAGGATGCTGCAGATTTCAATATGCCAGGAGGACAGCACAACATTAAAAGAATCTCAGTCTCTTAATTAGAACATATCTTTGCTAAACCTTAGATATTCAATTTCAACTTTTTTTATAAGAAAACTCAAAGCTAAAATCTTGTGTTAATAAAAATGGATTAGATCTCACAGGTAATCCACACCAAAAAAAATCAATCAATCTATCTATCTATCTATCTATCTATCTATCTATCTATCATCTATCTTTCTATCTATCTATCTCTCCTTGGCAGTGCACTGACCAGCCATGTAAAACTTTAGAGGAGTCAGAGCTAATGACTTGCAGCTCCTGATGTCATCCCCTGGCACTGCTACTTCTTTCCAAGCACGCGCATGGCCCCTGTGTGTGCCATTATCAGATGGTCAGCTGGTGGGGCGATGCTGGGGCAACTTGGCTCACATGCCAACAGACAGGGCTCTAAGAGCCCACTGCAGCCCTAGTGCCATAGATTCAACATCACTGGCTTAGAGTCACTGTTGGAGATGAGGTAGAAGGACTGGGGGACCTGGGGAGCTGGGATAGAGAGGGGGTCCCAGCACACAGCTGAGAATTAGGTAAGACTTTTTTAGGCTTGTTCCTCCTGTTCCCTTCAGTTAAATAATATTCACAATTCGTATACATCTCAGGAGGCCAGTTGTGACAGTAAGAAGGACCTGAGACCACTAGAAGACTGGCAGATAATCATCATTTTAAATATATGGAAAATCCAGAAAAGAAGAAACAGTGAGTTCCAAGGAGAGGGAAGGATGAGGTATCCCAGGAGAAATCAGGACATCAAGAGAGGTAAAGTAGCCACAGGTAGAGGTGCACACCTGTAGTCCCAAGTACATGGGAGGCTGAGGCAGAAAGATAGCAAGTTCAAGGCCAGGCTGGGAAATTTAGTGAGACCTTGTCTCAAAATAAAATAAAAAGGGGTGGTAATGTGGCTGAATGGTAGAGAAGCCCTGGGTTCCATCTTCAGTACTGGAAGAAAGGGGGGAGATGGGGGTTGGGAGTAAGGTAGTTAGGGGGAGGAGAAAAGGCAGAAATGAACGGAGCTTGGTGGCACATACCTGTAATCCCAGCTGAGGCAGGAGGGTGGTGAGCATCAAGTAGCCTAGGCTACATAGCAAGACCCTATCTCAAACCAGCCAAGAGACCAAAGAAAAAAAATTTAAAACAAAAATTAAAGGAAAGGGCAGAACGTCACCCAGGATCATTTCAATTTTGACAACCACCCCCTCTCCAAGATATTTACATATTGGGGTATGAGGAAAAAGGAGGGAAAGGATGAAGTTTTTTTATTGTTAATTTTATTGGTACATTTTAGGAATACAATATAATGACATTCATCATTGGAAATTTGTGCCTTTACATGATCTCTCTTGGTTCTTATTTTTTCCCCTTTCCTGTGACCTACCTTTAACCCCTCCATCTATCCCTATTTACAAAGACTATGTGTCAATTTTTTCGTATTAATTCCATTTCTTTCTTTCCTTTCCCCTATCCCTCCAACTTCCCCTTCCCCTTTGCACCTTTTCTTCCTATTTCACATTATCTGTTATACCTTTTAGTCCTTATGTGCACTTTCAGTCTCTCACACCAGAGAAACTATTCAGTATTTACACATGTGTGTCCTATTTATTTCACTTAAGAGTAATGCCTCAATATGCATCCATTTAGCTATAAATGTCTCTAATTTCTCATTCTTCATGGCTGAGTAGTACTCCATTAAAAAAACACACACACATCTTCTTTATCCAGTCTCCAGTTGATGGGCATTTGGGCTGCTTCCAAGTTTTAGCTATTACAAACTGTGCTGCTATGAACATGGGTGCACATATATCTCTGTGCTGATCCTTTTAATTCTTTTG